TTCGTTATAACCAGTAAAAAATACGTTGGCCTTTATGGACGACGTTTCAATTAAAGGAAAAAAGTTCGTTTTAACCGAAAGTTCACTATAACCGGTTCATTATAAGCGGACTTTACTGTACTTCCAAAGGTATATTTTCGTCGTAATTTAAAGCCTAGAAAAATAATAATTTACAAGTTGACTTCTAAAGTTGTTAACTAAAGCTTGGCTGTGTGGTTCTGATACAGTGCCTGCTTCCCTAACAGCAATTAAATAATTTAGCTCCTCATTAATATCTGCAAGCAAAAGAAGATCTTCTTCACCTATATTTTTTGCAATATTATATAAAACTTCAGTTGCCGAAATAATGTGCATTGCGGTCTCCAGTTTTACTCTCAAGCCATACGCCAAAACGGGAAACCTTTTCAAACTCCAAAACATCTTTCGATTACGTTTCCTGTTCGGATATGGGACTTATTGTATAGTCTTTCGGCTCTTGTTGCAGGATTAACTAAAAGGGCTAACAAATAGGATCTAAGACCATAGCCACTGTCACCCGTAATAAAAAAAATCAGGAAAATATACTAAACGGTCCCTAATCGGGCGCTAATCAGCCGAAAAGTGCCGGTTAATATAATCGTCGTTTAGAATACACAAAACAGTGGTTAAGCGACGGTACAACACATTTGTCAAACTAAACAACGATTAAATTTTTAATCACTGTTTAGTCAAACGGTGCAACCGGGCATAAGGATTCGACGCTGAAACTATACAGTCGGTATAGCAGCGCATATAGTTAAAACTATGGATCTTGCGTATTAAATTTCGCAATAATATTTTGGTCATCCACTTTCAAATCGCTGATAATTTGCAATTATAAACAAAAACCGAATTAAGTTAAAAACAACTATGGAAAAGTGCAGGCAATCAATGCGTTTTCATGCGCCTTTCAGTGCGAACAACGCGTTTTCCTTAACGTTTCACCGTAAAATACCTGGCAAATAGTTTCAAGCATCGTATGCGCAAAAGCAATATGTTGATGGCCTTTTTTGTTAGATGTTAAAATTCGGTCATCGGCCATGAGTTATAACCCATTAACCAATGAGTTAAAACTCATGAACCCACAGCGCGGCAACAACGCAAAAGCGCAACTCAACACAGTGTTACTCAGGCCAAAAATAGACCAAATCAACTCGATGGCGGTTGCAAACCGATGAAACGAATTGAGGATTCATTAAAATTGTTGATTTCAGGCGCACGAATTCTTCCTGTTCGCCGTCCTGATTGTGGCCGACATGGTGATTTTCATGGAAATGGTATGCCGATATCGCTTCGTCCAGCTGGAGGTGGACAGTTCCGCTCTTATCATGTCCGGTCCCACGAATGCGGCCCAAGACGACTAAAATGCCAGTCTATCAGCCAGTCTATCTAGCTAATGAGATGGATGCAATCTTATCTCGAAAAAACAATAGACTTAAAAGAAAGGATCTAAGCGGTTAGATTAGTTGATTGAAAAGCGGTGTTTGATCCACAGTTGTAAATTATAAACCAAATCTGATAACAGATTCTCGTTTGGATTCTGATCGCAGTAGTGTGGTGGTAGATCAGTCAAGAGTGGACTGTTTAGGGCGGTGTCGCCCTCTGTACCTACCTGTTTTTCTTGGGGCGACTATGGCGCGTGCAGGTAAGACCCTGTTTTAAACAAAGTTCTATTGAGGTCAATGTCATTCACCTCAGCACCACTTGAAGCGGCCGATTGAGTGGAAAGTGCTTGAAAATTTGGGCCACTGGCCGAGGACTTTTCATGTTAATCCTCTCTCAAAATGACAGCAATCATTGTACGTACTTTCCTGACTGTGTTTCAATTTCAGCTTCAGTTGACAGCAATGTCAACAATCTACTCTTTCCTGCCACTTTGACTGTTCAACTTCCAAAGCKTATGTCATTAGTATCATTGACTCGATGGTTTAGAATGGATCTATGGGTAATTTTTCAAAAAATCTCCCCTTCGAAGCCTTTCCTGGAACAAATCTATCTCTCTTAGTTTAATTCAAGTTGATTAATCTGGAATTTCGATAAATAGACACATGTATGTCATTGATAAATCTCACCGTTGAGCCCGATTGATCCAGCGGATTTGCGGCTGATAATCGCGGCGAAGCCGCTCAAGGGATTTGCTAAAGTTGGGATTTGCGTTCCATAAATCCCGTAATAACTGCAAAGCCGCCACGATAAAAAAATAAAATTGAAGCTGTTTCCATATCAGCAGATCAAGACATTTATTTCCATGACAGTGGGATTATTAATGGAAATGTTTTTTTCTTTTTGGGTTAACGGCCAATCAATGGCAATGCTGGGCTTCAGATCAATAAAGCGCAAAATGTCGCACAACCAGTTATTGATTTAAATCGTAATAATTGTCATTGACCGAGATTTGCGCGCCTAATTTGGCGATTGGGCGATTAATGGGAGCGCCGCAGTCAGGTCAATATCCCATTTTAATGGGCCGGCAGAAGCGCCCGACTTGAATCCCTGGGACTTTCCCAATAGTTGCACTTAAGGCGCACATTTCGCAAAGTCATCCTCATCTCATTGCTAGTTGTACTGATTAGATAAGAGGGCTGAAGTGTGCTGAACAAGGAGGATTTTAATATCCAATAAAAAAAATTGGACGCTTCAGACGGTCCGCACACAAACCCCCCAAGACAAATATTGGCTTTGGCAAGACCCACTCGACTGTAGGGTTATTAATACTAATAATGCCGTGTGTTTGCCCAACAGATCAACCAGCTGGTGAGGAGGAGTTGAGGAGGACGTCTAGGAACGAGGGCGCTAAAGAGGACGACAGTCTTAGGGACGAGGAATCCACTTTGGAGGTACTTGAGTTTGAGTTCTCCCGTCCGAACCTGGCATTTAAAGCCGATATCCCCCACTGATTAAAAAAAACCCACCGATTTCGCACCAACGTATGGTACAAATGTTTATAGGCGACCAATAAGCGCTCGAAGCTCAGTCGAATAGTGGCAACCGAATGGTTGAATGCCCATCAAGCGACCATGTTGGAAGAGAAAGGATGAAGAAACAGTGCGTTTAATCAAAATCGGTTCTGACTAATCATCGTGATCTTCTTCTTGCTGGTGTGTGTGATATTAATTCCCTGTCGCTCAAATAGCGCTTGACATGGAAAGACAACAGGTCAAGGTAGGACCAAAACCCACTATTCCCACGGGTTTAATCGCGTTGCCATTGCCCGGACCTGCGACTTCCTGTTTTCATCCGACCAGAATCCAGATATCGGTGCCAAAAACCGCAAGTACATGAAAGTGACCGGAGACAACACGCTCGTGCAATACCTACTTCAAACCGGTTGCTACGAATAGTTTTCTATTAAAATTCAAGGTTTGCACAAAGAACCTCCAGTACTTTCCTGCGGCCACGGATTGTTGTTATTATTGTTATTCTGGGCCAGTGCTTTCATTTAAAGCGCAGCCACCTGATCGAGGTTTCAATTGCAACTTTTCGGCTAGCGTGTCTGCAGCACTTATCAAATGGCAATCAATTCAATTGATCCAAATGCCCGCTTAAATTAATCAAGCGACAACTGTTTCAGATGAATGGAATCTAATCACACCGAAATTCCGTGTCTAAAAGTCAGAACATCGATGGTAGTCGCATAGGGGCTGTGGACGGGAAAACCCAACGACATTCTGATTTTTTGGTGCCACTTTTTGTACAAAAGCCAATTACGCATATGAAAACGCACCGATTGACTGCTCTTTTTGCATAGTTGTTTCTCACTGAATTCGGTTCTTGTTTATAATTGCAAAAGCATCAGCGATTTGAAAGTGGATGAGTAAAATATTGCAAAACTTAACAGGAAATATCCATTGTTTTAACTATATGCGCCGCTATACCGCCCGTATAGTTGCAGCGTCGAATCCTTAGCCACGAGCAGTTCTAATAGGTTTTTTTTGTCCAAAAACCAAGATTTGAGTATAAAAAACCACTTTTGCTTAGGCCTGGGTAACACTGTGTTTAGTTGCGCTTTTGAGTTGTTGCCCYTTTGTAAGTTAATGAGTTTTAACTCATTAGTTAATGAGTTTTAACTCATTAGTTAATGAGTTTTAACTCATTAGTTAATGAGTTATAACTCATTAGTTAATGAGTTATAACTCATGGCCGGTGACGGAATTTTAACAAAACATTAAAAAAAACCCGRCAAGTARCCCATTGCTGAGAGCAACTGGAAAGATCCAACGCTCCAACTATATGCTCGTCATAGCGGCCGTACAGTTGGAACCTCGAATCTTGTCCAACTATGAAAATGTTGAAAAATGTTAAACTAGTTTTTCAATTGGCCTGCGTTGTCCCCCAATTTTCCATTGTTGTTGTTGACCGGTACACAAAAATAATTTTTCAACAGCAGTTTCAAACTACGAAGGAAGATACGGCTCAAACTAGTCCTGAAACTAGCGCAACTGAAAAGATCCAACGCCCCAACTATAAACCCGCCTGTAGCGGACATACAGTTGGAGCGTCGAATCCTTACAAACGAAGCAGCTAGTGGAAAAGCCATGGCAAATTAGTCTTTTCTTTGGATAATAAATCAAAAACATTTGATATAAAAGTCAGGGAATCAATGTTAGTCATCCTACTAATCACGTGCAGCTGATGCAAACCCATCAACAGTATATCTTATTTGACTATTTTTCCACAGTTCGCAATCAAATCGAACAATAAGATTGCATTTTTTTACGACTTAAGCAATAATTATTTAGCAATCAAATCCGCGACTTGATTAGTTTGGCTGCATGACGAGTATAGATAGTAAACACGGAATGGGCCAAAAATTAAAATTCCGTTTAATGATAATAACATTCTGATGTCGAAAAATTTAACGGCGCGATAAATTGCCCACAATCGCAACCAAACCACTTTAAACTAGGCGGTTTGCTTAAGGAAAAATCCTCGCTGGCCTTGTCCGCGATTCGCATGTGGTTCGCATACTGTGTCAATTCCGAATCAATCAAAATTGCCCGTTCCCTAGCAACCATCGCTTGTGCCATTTGATAGATTAGACGTCAAATTGACATTGTCATTGTCATTGAATCCATTTTAATTTAGTTTATGGTTTCAGAAACTCCCTTACCCAAAGTCGGTGTTCTTTATCGTCAGCAATGAGTTCTGCGAACGGTTCTCCTACTATGGGATGCGAAGTAAGTCCCCCTTAGGGTACAGTTTCCCATATTGACGATCCTGTTTCCAGCCATCCTCACCCTCTATCTTACCGAGATGCTCAAATACACGGAGGCGTCGGCCAAGGTGCTCTACCACACGTTCACGATGTTCGTCTACTTCTTCCCCATCTTGGGGGCGATCGTTTCGGACAGCTGGCTGGGGAAGTTCCGCACCATTCTCTATGTCTCCATGGTTTATGCGGTCGGCTCAATACTGCTGGCTCTGACAGCGGTGGATCCTCTGCAGATCCCTCAGAAGGAGTTCACCATCGTGGCGTTGCTTCTGATTGCCGTAGGGACTGGGGGAATCAAGCCCTGCGTCACTGCCTTTGGAGGGGACCAGTTCGTGCTGCCGCAGGTGGGCTTCGTCTACCACCCATCTTTGCCTAGTAACTTCCAGTTGCTTTCCAGCAAGAGCTGCAGCTGGCCATGTTCTTCTCCCTGTTCTACTTCGCCATCAATGCTGGAAGTTTACTGTCCACCTTCATCACCCCCATCCTGCGCAATGACGTGGAATGCTTCGGAAGCAACAGCTGCTACCCACTGGCCTTTGCCGTCCCGGGAGTCTTGATGGTCATCTCGATTGGTAACAACTTTCCACCATCCATTTCCTCTGTGTTGTCTTTTAACTGATGCTTTCAGCAATATTCGCGCTGGGGCGGCCCATGTACAAGATCAAGCAGCCCAAAGGGAACGTTTTCGTCAACGTGGTGAGCTGCATTTGGGTAAGTGGTAAGTCGATGCCGCCCACTGTGTATCTGACGTGGGTTGACGTTGCAGCATGCGGCCACCCACAGGAAAAGCAGCGGCCCAGTAGACCATTGGCTGGACAGGGCGGAGCCAAAGTTTGGCGCCAAACTGGTGGGGGATATCAAAGCCTTGCTCAAGGTCCTGGTCATCTACATTCCCATCCCAATCTTTTGGGCCCTCTACGACCAGCAAGGCTCCGGCTGGACCTTCCAGGCAGTGAGGATGGACGGCAACATCGGCTTCTACACCATTCTGCCCGATCAAATGCAGGTGAGAGTGGATATATCAAGCCATTGCTTCAGCTACATCTTGGTGTTTCAGGTGGTTAACCCGCTGTTAATCCTGGCCTTTATACCGCTGTTTAGCTACGGAGTGTATCCGCTGCTGGGCAAGTGCAACCTCCTGACCACGCCCCTTCAGCGAATGGTGTGCGGCGGATTTTTGGCTGCCGCGGCCTTTGCAGTGTCGGCCTTCGTGGCCATGGCCTTGGAAGCGAAATACCCCGTGCTGCCAGAGGCGGGGCAGGCTCAAGTGCGCGTGTACGACACCACAAATTGCTCCTACTCGTAAGGCCCTTTTCACACCTTCCTGGTCGCTCACCAGATGACACTTGCGTCAAATTTTCAGTTTCACCACCATCAATAACACCATCTCCAATGGAACCTTAACCAATGGCTACTACGAGAACAAGTACATTGACGTTCCTGCAGGCCAGCTGAATGTGAGTAGATTTCCAAGTGAGGAGATTCAGGCAGTTCATGCGCGATTTGCTCGGTTTAGGTCAGTTTCACCTTCACCTCGACAGTGTTCAATTGCAGTGAACGCAACTGGGAGTTGGAAGTTGACGAGGAAAAGGCCTACGGAGTATACTTGACCGACCTGGGCGTGTTTTCGTATGAGGACAAGGTGGAGAAGAGCAGCGACGGCTACCCATTGGTCAGGTTAGACGCTGGCTCACCTTTGCTCAACCGTCACTAAGCGCTTCTACTCCTTTCAGAACCCTCGTAAGCGACAACTCCTCAGTGAAGTACTCGCATTCGGAAAAGAGCTACGCACTAACCGTTGCGGTTGGGTCGTTGGTCTCCTTGGAGTACGTGGGCTCCTACAACATCGATCTGCTGAATAAAAGCGCCGAGTTCAAGCTGGGCGGCACCTACACAGTGCTGATCAATGCGGTTGGTTGGGCCCGGTGCAAGTAGGGTTTTTTAGTGAACTGGTTGCGTTTGCAGGACGACTTGACCTACCGGGTGGTCACAGTGACCAATCCAAACAGCGTGCACATGCTGTGGCTGCTGATCCAGTACGTGATCATCACGGCGGCCGAGATCATGTTCTCAATCACTGGCCTGGAGTTTGCCTACTCGCAGGCGCCCATTTCAATGAAGTCGGTCGTGCAGGGCTGTTGGTTGCTTACCACTGCTGTAGGAAACTTAATCATTGTCGTCATTGAATCGATGGAACTTTTCGAAAAACAGGTAGGTGCAGGTTCGTCTGCGATATACATATATATACATCTTTGACTTGTCGCTTTCCAGTCCAACGATTTCTTCCTCTACACGGCCATCATGGTGGTCGATCTGTTCTTCTTCATGTGGTTGGCCACGCGGTATGAGTACGTGATAGACGAGGACAGCAGCTTTGTTGAAGACACTGAACTGGCGATCGAATCGAAAGCAGCCTCAAACGGCCTGGATAATCCGGGCTTTGATAAGAACATCTAGGCTGTCCGCCTGTTCATTGTACATTTGTTGTTGTCTTAATGTTAAGCCCACTTTTTCTGTGTTAACCAGTTTTAATTAATAAATTGTTTAATGAGTTAGTCAAAAGCTACAAAGTTTTTTTTTTACAAACTGCTTGTTGGGTATTGCGCCTCAAAATCTTTTGTTTTTTTGTAGATGATTCCTTTGCTAAAATTGAAGAATTATTATATAAAAAAAATAAAAAATGGATCCACCTAAACAATACAGGGTGATTCAAAATTGGCGTCATTCCTCTTAAGGGGTAATAGGGGCACACAATTTTTTAAATTTACGATAACTTAATAACGTACTTAATGTTTTAAGATATTAACACTTGAATATCGAATTTCAACTTTGTTAATAAGCATTATTTTGAAAGTGTTCCATGTTTAATTGGAAGCATATTGGAATACTTAAGCATTCAAAAGAAAAATTACGATCTTTGCTTCAGATTACGAAAATTTTTGATATTGAAAAAGTTCTCTTCTACAATTTTTTGATGAAAAGTCAAAGCGGCAATGATGTTTTTTGTCATTAACAGATAGTTACAGGTGGACAGACCTTGACAATAATAACAATAATTTGTAAAACTGTGACTTACTTTGAATTTCCTTTCACGAATTTGCGGATATGTGATTAGTTCATTCCTACCACGTATGTAAGCTCACATTAAACCAATGAATTACTGAACACAGATATAAATTGAGCAGGAGTTAATTAACCGAATACGGGAAGTTGCTCGAGAAGAGTGCATAACAGGCACTTGTTTGGAGTTACAGCCAAATGTAGGTTTTTGTAATTTGTAAACAAATTAATAATTCGAGATTATGAGTTTCGAAATAGGTTCCGTCATTCACCGATTCCTGTTGAATTTACCGTTTATCCTTGTCTATCTTATTGTCATTTTCCCTATTTATCCATGGTTACCGGAGTTTTTAATAATTACGAAGCAACAGGTATTTACGTAAAGTTAATTAGGCGGATTATCTTGAAAAACATTGCTGCCGTATTTCTGATATAGTTTTTTGCAAATTTCTCAGTTTTTAATAACAATTAATTGTTATACCCTGTACAGGGTGATTCAAAATTGGGGTCATTCCTCTGGAGGTGTTGTCTGGCGCTGTTATAGGAGTACAGAAAAAATAGTAAAATAAATTAATTGTTATTAAAAACTGAGAAATTTGCAA